GGTGAACAAGAGAAAGAACACCTGCCACTGGATTTTGAGAATAACGTTGAGAATAAGGATCACTGGTTGCTTTAGACAATGTTGTTTCAGTGGCCTGGTGCCGGGGAGCAAGTGGAAGAGTGTGATGAGAATCAGGAAGTGGTGTAAGGTATTTTTCCAAAAGAATATTGGATAGTACATAGAGGAAGCCTGTGGGGCTAAGGCGGGAGAGATTTGTGCCAGCAAAGAAAGAATGATTGAAAATTTAGGAGCCAGATGGGATGATTGATGGAGTCCAGCTCCTAAGGCAGTGGAGGAGAAGGATTCCCAAGCAGAGGAGGTGAGGTTTACCTTGGACAGGAGGAAGGAAGCCTCTTTACCTGAAAAAGGCAGGGAGTACATCACTCAATGTCAGTGGTAATAATGTCGTATGTGTTGGGGAGTTGGTTTTTTCCCTCGGAAGTAGGTAAACCCTATTGCTGAACGTGATGGGATGAGATAAGACATTGGGGGAAAGAGGGAAACACCTGGCATATTGACAGAGTGTGAAGTCGGAGGGGGTTGATTAGAGGCAAGCTAAAGGATTTCTGGGCAGTACTGATCCCGTACCTCTGCTCCAAGGATGGAGACAGTGAAAGAGTAGGGTTCTCTTAGCATCTCCCTCATACAGACCTCTAACCTAGTACTTGTTTACTTGACTCCCTCTCTCTGGAAAATACAGGACACAGGGTAAGAGGGGAAACAGATAAAAAAGTTTGACAAACATTAGATGAAAGCCCTATAATGAAAACAAAGAGCAGAGACAATATAAACAATGGTTAAGAATCTTCCCAGAACTGATGAAAGACGCCAAAGCATAGATTGAAGAGGCCAAGTAAGTATCAATAACGACAAACCTAAAAAGATGATATCCACACTCAGTCACATCAAAGTAGAAGTGTTAGTGCTAATACCCAAAAGCCCAGGAGACCTACAGGAGTCCTGAAAAGACACCTGGCCCTGGAGAGAGGCCCGGGGAAGTTTTCCAGAGCGTGTGATGGAAGGGCTGTAGGCTGAGTTGTAAATGATGAATAAATGTCAGCCAGGTGCGAGAGGGGAGCAGGGGTAGAAGACGAAATGCAGAGGAGAGGGAGTATTGGGCAGAAGCCAAACTGTCAGCAAAGCTGCAGGACAAGAAACGTATGTGTCAGAGACAAATAGGCAAGTTGCTGTTAGGAAAGTGTAAAGTGTGAGGCCAAACCAGAAATGTCAGCGACAAAGAGGTCTTAAAGGCCGAGACAGAGAAGGAGAGATCATTTTCAAAGGGGCAGCAGATGAGAGACACAGCTGACTTTTCTCCTGTGATAATAGAAGCAAGATATAGTGGAATGCGGAATAGTTCAAGATATCGAAAGAAAATGCCTGCCAATACAGCATTCCAAACTTGGCAAATTTTTTTTTTTTTTTTTTTTTTTTTTTTTTTTTTTTTTTTTTTTTTTTGAGACAGAGTCTCACTCTGTGGCCCAGGCTGGAGTGCAGTGGCACAATCTCAGCTCACTGCAGCCTCCGCCTCCTGGGTTCAGGTGACTCTCCTGCCTCAGCCTCTTGAGTAGCTGGGATTACAGGTGGACACTACCAAAACTGGCTATTTTTGTTTTTTTGTATTTTCAGTAGACAGGGTTTCACCGTGTTGGCCTGGCTGGTCTAAAACTTCTTCCCTCAAGTGATCTGCCCACCTTGGCCTCCCAAAGTGCTGGGATTACAGACATGAGCCACCATGTCTGGCCAAAATATTTTTCGACTATGAAGGGAGAGAGAACGCGAGAGAAAGAGAGAGAAAGTGAGAGAGGAAACCAAGGATGTTTGCTACCAGAAAACCAATTCTAAAGAGGTTTCTAGAATATATTTCAGGAAAAAAGATTCTAGATGGAAGAATACTAACAGAGTGTAAGGAATAAAGAATAGAGACGATGGTAAATATGTATGTAAATCAAAACGAGCAGTGAATGTACAAAATAAAACCAAACATCACGATGATATCTTTGGGGGCTCAAAAATATAGAATTGGTATTTCATTAATAATAAAATGCCACTAATACTAAGATGCATAATTTATATATCACCTAAGGGAAAAAAAATGTTGCCAGTTAAACTATTAAGAACTAATATCGTCCTGAACAGCACATGAATCATTCCATGTCATGTTAATTTAAATTTTAAAAATGTCTTCTAAAGGATTAAGCAATTTCTTCTGATTTCATTTGCACTGACAGTTTATGGTAAATTACCCTTTTGCTTTTTATCTTACAACAAAAAGTAACATGGCTTCATCCACATGTGGGTATCTTTCTTTCCTAGGTTCTATAAAGCACCAGATTGTTGCTCTACAAAAAAATACGGAATATGGTCATTTCCCAAACAAATGTTACAGGTGTCCCAAGAATGAAAGGTATGCTTCCTCTTTTACTTCTGTGCCCTTCTGTATACACAATAACTTTGTTTCCGTACCAGCTAATAATGTAATACATTTGCAAATGTTTGAAAAGGCAATAAATTAAACATGTATCAATGAACAAATAATTCAATTAAAGCGATAATATGAACAGCAATGACAGAGTTCATGCACCTGCAGGCAATGACAACTTTATCAGGACTGCCACCTGGGACTAACAGCAACTATAAATCACCATCAAATGAAGACATACCTCTACTTTGGAGATGTTCGAATGTGAAATAACACGTATATTGGGATTGATAAAATGCCACAAAGAATGTTATGAAAATAGCATGTAAGTTGTGAGGAGGAGAGCTAGAGTTCAACTGTTCTAAGGTCTTTATATTATCTGGAGGAGGGTAAAGGTTTTATACTTTGAAATTCTCAAATATATACTTTGATAACTGAAGTACAGATGTTGTGATTTCTGGGTAACCAGTAAAAGAATATTTAAAAAACGTATAATCACATAATTTTCAACTAGCAGAAAGAAAAGAATGGATTGATAAAAATACCCAGCCAATCCAAATGAAGACAAGTAAAGGGAAAAAAGAAACATATGGAACAAGCTGGGATGGTATATTGAAATGCCATCAGTGTTTAAATGCACCAGTAATTACATCAAGTAAAGTAATTTAAATCCGATTTTAAAATTACCAGACTAAAAAAAGTCAAAATCATTTGCTGATTACGAAACATATATCTAAACTTTAAGATCACAGATTGAGAGTAGATGTAAAAGAAGGAGCTGGTGGAGCTATACTAATATCTGACAGAATAGGCTTTAATACAAAGGTGAAGAAGAAAAATGGTTTCTGATATAAGGGAGATACTTGTATGAACTTTTTTTTTTTTTTTTTTTTTAAGACAGAGCCTGTCAGTCTGTTGCCCAGGCTGGAGTGCAGGAGCATGATCTCGGCTCACTGCAGCCTCCGCTTCTTGGGTTCAAGCCATTCTCCTGCCTCAGTCTCCCAAATAGCTGGGATTACAGGCACACGCCACCAAGCCCGGCTAATTTTTTATTTTTAGTACAGATGGGATTTCACCAGGTTGGCCAGGCTGGTCTCACACTCCTGACCTCAAGTGATCCACCTGCCTTGGCCTCCCAAAGGGCTGGTGTGAGCCACCACGCTCGGCCTTGTATGCACATTTTAAAATAGACTTGAAGCTAATGACATGGCCTCAAGATTTATAAAGCAAAAACTGACAGAATTTCAAGAAGAAACAAACAAATCCACAATCATGGTGGGAGATTTAAAAACACCTATCTCTTATCATTAGAGCAGGCAGGCAATTAAGTCGGTACAAGTAGAGAAGATTTAAACAACACGATTAATGAATTTGATTTAAAGGGTATATATGTATATGTATGTGTTTGTGTACACACACACACACACACAGACATATATACTGCATTCAACAGGCACAGAATATACATTCTTTTCAAGTTCACATGGAATATTTATAAAAACTAAACAAAAAATGTGTTACAAAGAAAATAAAGAATTGAAATCATGCATTGTATATTTTCTGACCTTATTGGGTTTAAGCTAAAAATTTAAAAACAGAGTAATGTGCCTAAGAAACTCAAAGGTCAGGATGGGGGCGGCGGCTCACGCCTGTAATCCCAGCACTTTGGGAGGCCAAGGCAGGCGGATCACCTGAGGTCGGGAGTTCGAGACCAGCCTGACCAACATGGAGAAACCCCGTCTCTACTAAAAATACAAAAAAATTAGCCGGGCGTGCTGGCACATGCCTGTCATCCCAGCTACTAGGTTGACTGAGGCAGGAGAATCGCTTGAACCTGGGAGGCGGAGGTGGTAGTGAGCCAAGATCGCGCCATTGCACTCCAGCCTGGGCAACAAGAGCAAAACTCTGGTCTCAAAACCAAACCAAACCGAACAAAACAACAACAACAAAAAATACTCATGCATCAAAAAAACATAATGGAAATTAGAAATATTGTAACCAAATGATAATGAAATCTCTATATTAAAATTTGTGAGATGCAGCTAAAGTCATGCTCAGAGGGAAATTTATGGCCCTAAATACGAATACTGAAAAAGAAGAATAACTGAAAGTTAACAACGTAAGAATCCATTTTTAAAAGGTAGACAAGGCCGGGGGCGGTGGGCCACACCTGTAATCCCAACAGCACTTTGGGAGGCTGAGGTGGGTTGATCACTTGAGCCCAGGAGTTGGAAACTTGCCTGGACAACATGGTGAAATCCTGTTTCTGCAAAAAATACAAGAATTAGCCAGGCGTGGTGGCACACACCTGTAGTCCCAGCTACTGAGGAGGCTGAGGTGGGAGGGTCATGAGCCCAGGAAAGTGGAGGCTACAGTGAGCTGTGATTGCTCCACTGTACTCCAGCCTGGGTGAGAGAGGGAGACCCTGTCTCAAAAAACAAACAGACAAACAAACAAACAAACAAAATAGACAAAGCAAAATAAACTGGAAGAAAGTATGAGGAAGGAAATGGAGAACATAAATAAAGGGAGTAGGCTTTGGGAAAGGCTGCTGATGAATTTGAACTTTGATACTCACAACAAGAGGACGAGGCAGAAGAAGAGCAATGAGAATGCAATGGCTCCATACACAATGCCCTGGATTAATCCTTTCACGAACATACTGGAAACTGATTTCTTATCTGGAATTGGAGGGAAGCGAGATTGACTTTTCTCCAAAGGCTTTGAAGTCGGAGCTAAAACTCTCTACCCTTTCCACTGGCCCTGTGCCCATCCACATCTGGTCCTTAGGTGTTCTTTCCAGCTCAGTCACTAGGTCCCTGGATACTCACTTGGTATCAGGAAGAAGCTGGAAGTGTGAATTCCATATTGGTTCTTCCCCTCACAGCGAAGTCTCATGACTATTTCTGGCTCCCCGATGAGGTTGATGGTGCTGTTGGCCCAGGGGACACGTGTGGAAGAAGTCACCTGGAGGATGTTATCCATGCTGTTCACATCCACAGGGACACCTCCCATCCACCACTGCACGGAGGGCGTGGGGATCCCATGGAAGGAACAGCTGCACAGAACTGTCTTCTCCAAAGAACAAGAGGAATTGAACAACCTGGCAGGTGCTGTGTGGAGGAAGAATCGGGGATCATCAAGATGTCCTGATTTTGCTTCTCTACTTCCCCTAAGACCCAGCCTTCTCTTTACTCACTATTCACAGGGAGCTTCAGAAAGACTTTCTGGCAACCCAGAGTGGGGCTGGGACTCAAAACAGTCCCCTTTCATCCTCTCTCCACATCTGCCTCCGACTTGGGTTCAGCTGCTACCTCTGACCTTTCAGCCCCAAAGGCCAGGGGGAACATGTGACAGCTCCTAAGATTTCTTTCCCTCTGGGGCTCAGGTCTTTTCTTGAGCCCACTATTTCTCAGGATCCTGCCTGTGCCCCCAGCACTTACAGACCACTTGGAGCTTGACCAAGCTACTTCTGGTCACGTTGGCTAGGGAGAAGTTCAAGTGACATCCAAGGGTGTTGCCATGGTCCTCAGGCCTCAGGATGAAGTGCAGCACCGAGGAGGAGCTGCTGGAGGCGGCTGGGTTCTTCCGGGAGTGAAAGAGAGCTTTGATTTCTTTGCAGGTGCCTTTCAGGGTACAGTTCAAGGTCACAGGTTTCTCAGCCAAAAGAATCTCTGGGATGTGGAGCTCTGGCTTTTGGGTTAGGTCTGGAGAAGAGAGAAGTAGACCCAAACTTTGGGGAAAAAGGGACCCTCATGGACACTTCACTGATGCACAGCATTTCCAGGTTACAAAGTGCTCCCCGCCCATTAGCTCATTTGCAACCCCCTCACCTCCCCAACAGCCTTGTGAAACCTGGGATTGTTGGGGTTGAATGGTTTTTCACAAATAGATTTCCTTTCTCTGTGTGGAAGGGGAACAGCCCAGCGTCCAGGTGATCAAACTGAAGAGAACTACTCAATGTGGTAGAGCTTGAACCTGAACTCTGGTCTTCAAAGACTGAGGGTGAGTAGTTTTCTGACGATCTACATTGTAGAATGAGGATTCTACATTCTGGCCCCTTACCTGAGCCCCAGACTAGATGTGCTAGTGGTAACTCCTCCTCTGCCTCCCTTTTCCAGCCCAATTCTCCCCCTAGACTCTGCCCCTTCCCAGCCCAGTCTGTGATCATTTCCTCTCTATTTTGTATTGGTTGGATGATACAGGGTGAGTCGCTTCTCTTTTTGCCATTTCTATTTGGAAAAGTAAAGTTACCTATTATACTGATCTCATTGCATCATTGGAAAACTCAAATACCTGAGGTTTTGTAAAGCCCAGTGCCCATCAAGTAAAAACCACATAATCACCAGAACCACGGTTGGATTTCCTTCTTTCCAAACCACTTATTGGATGATATTGAACATCACCTGACACAAAGAGTTTGATATTCTCCCCCAGGAAAGCACTTTTTTGTTCTCCTAGATCTGCATAGAATAAATACGTCGCACTGTTCCCTTTGAGAATATCATGGATGAGTAGGGTACAGTCCTCTTCATCAAGATTCCCAGTCATGGAAAATCTGTCCTTGGTGTTATCACCAACGGTAGCATTGGGTTTATTTGTAGCTACAAGGGAGCTGACGTTTTTGTTGAGCCAGTAGCCCATGATCATGGAATTGCTTGGGAGTTCTTTGGGAAATTCAAATGCACAAGGGATTGTCGTGCACAGCCCCTCTTCCACTGGTATCTTCTTGATTTCCATCAAAACCTGAGAAAGTAACCCTGTAAGGAGAGATCCAAGTTGAAAAACAGACCCACCTACCATACTCTTGTATTATATCTGTGCATTAAAAGAGTCACCTTACCTAAGAAAGGCTTGACACTTGTCCAGCTCCTACGAGGTGATCTCTAAACCCTTGCGATATCCTGCCTGATAGGAGTGTCTTTGTTTACCTGAGACCTTGGACTTCATCAGTTGATGCTAACACTCTGGTTTATGGTGGGACCCCTGGATCCTGGGGCATCAGCTTGACCTCTGGAGGGGCTGAAGACTAAGCTAAGTCAGTGACCAGACCCACAATAAAAACCCTGGACACCAAGGCTTGGGTGCACTTCTCTTCTTGGCATGTCTGTGCATGTCACCACACATTGTTGCTGAAAGAAGTAAGCTCTGTTGGTGCAACACTACTGGGAGAGGCCAGCTGAAAGCTCATGCCTGCTCTCTCCTGAATCCTGCCCTAGGCACCTCTTCCCTGTACTGATTTTCATCTGTATTCTTTTGCTATAATCAACTGCAATCATGAGTAAAACAGTTCTGCTGAATTTTGGGTCCTTCTTGTCGATCACTGAATCAGAAGCGTCTTGGGGACTCCTAAATTGCATCACCCCAATCTAGTCTGCTGGATTTTTTATTGCTCTTCTTGTTGGTATTAATTGTATCTCGTGATCTTGGCCATGTTGCATCATTTCTGAATCTCAGTTTCTCAGTCAGAGAAATGGGTACAATAATACCAATGTTACAATATTGTGATAATTAAGGACAATACCTACAGAGGCACGTGGCCCCCTGCAATGACTGCAGATTGTGACTTCAGTCACATTCCACTACAGGGGACCATGTCACAGTGAACAGTTAGTGAATAATTGTGCTCGCCACCCATTAGCTCATTTGGAACCCCCTCCCTCCCCGACAGCCCTGTGAAACCTAGGACTGTTGTGGTTGAATGGTTTCCACAAATAAACTTCCTTTCACTGTATAGACGGGGAACACCCCATTGTCCAGGTGAGCAAACTGAAGAGAATTACTCAAGGTGGTAGAGCTTGAACCTGAACTCTGGTCTTCAAAGACTCAGGGTTTCTTGAGGATCTATATTGTAGAATAAAGATTCTACATTTTTTTTTTTTTTTTTTTTTTTTTAGACAGAGTCTTGCTGTCACGCAGGGTGAAGTGCAGTGGCACGATCTTGGCTCACTGCAACACCCACTCCTGGGTTCAAGCAATTCTCCCAACTCAGCCTCCCCAGTAGCTGGGATTACAGGTGCCCACTACCACACCTGGCTAATTGTTCTACTTTTAGTAGAGACAGGGTTTCACCATGTTGGCCAGGCTGGTCTCTGACCTCTCACCTCAGGTGATCTGCCCAACTTGGCCTCCCGAATTGCTGGGATTAGAGGCATGAGCCACTGTGCTTGGCCAAGTACCTAATTTTTTATGTTCTCACCTCTTCATCTGACTTCAGCCCTGTCTGCCTTCCACCCCTACCCACCCTCACCTCCCCAAGATACCTCCACACTGCCTCTCCTTCTACTTACCCAACCATAGCAGCGGCAGTGCCATCAGCCCCAGCGAGACCTCACGGGCAAGAGAGGACCAGGATGTATCCTGCTGCTAACTCTGACCTCAGATTGGTCTGTCCTGGAGGGTAGGATTTGGAATGGATGAGGAGAGGGGCAGCAGCAAGAGGCATGGGGTGCGGCTAGAAAGAAGTCCACTGCTTGCTAGGGGCTCTAGTCTTTTCAATCCACCCCTAAGGTCTGTTAATCTTGTGAATTAGGGGCCTGATGGGACCTGATGCTGGGGAGCTTCAAGAACAGAGGTTGGGCTGGGCACAGTGGCTCACGCCTGTAATCCCAGCATTTTGAGAGGCTGAGGTGGGAGGACTACTTGAGCCCAGGAGTTTGAGACCAGCCCGGGCAATGTAGGGAGACCATCTCCCTATAAAAAAAAATTAAAAAAAAAATTAGTCGGGCGTAATGGTACATGCCTGTAGTTCCAGCTACTCAGGAAGCTGAGGTGGGAGGATCTCTTGTGCCTGGGAGGTTGACACTGTTAGTGAGCTGTGGTCACAACACTGTACTCCAGCCTGGGCAACACAGTGAGACCCTGCCTCAAAAACAAAAGAACAGGGGTTGTCCCCAAACTCTTTGTGAAGCCTCAACACCATGTCTGCTTTCCTCTCTCCAGTCTGTATTCCCACTCCACTTCCTCTTCCAAGAGTCTCAAATGCCAGGCTGAGGAGCTCGGACTCCCTCCCACGTCAATGGGGGAGCTCAGGGAAATTATGGAATGGTTTTGAACTATGGGAGAATGGGTTTGGGTGTTCTAAAGATCCCTCTGGGTCTGCACTGAGGAGGAAACAACAGTCCAGGAGAAAGATGATGAAATCTGAGCTGGAACGGTAGCTATGGGGGACAAAGAGAAGGTGATATATTTAAGAGAGATTCAAGAAATAAACAACATTTCAGGGGCAGACAGAGTACATTCCAAACTCCCTTGCCTTTCATTCGAGCCCTCCCTGATTTTGCCCCGCTTTTCCCTTACCTTGATATTCCCCATGCCTGCATCCTGTCATTCTTTCCATACAAAAAAAAAAAAAAAAAAGATTTTTTTTTTTCCTATTTTGAGACAGTCTTGCTCTGTCACCCAGGCTGGAGTGCAATGGCGCAATCTCAGCTCACTGCAATCTCTGCCTCCCAGGTTCAAGCGATTCTCCCGCCTTAGCCTCCCAAGTAGCTGGGACTAAAGGTGCCTGCCAGTATGCACAGCTAATTTTTGTATTTTTGGTAGAGACGGGGTTTCGCCATGGTGGCCAGGCTGGTCTCGAACTCCTGACCTCGGGTGATCTGCCCGCCTTGGCCTCCCAAAGTGCCAGGATTACAGGCAGGAGCCACTGCACTGACCGAAATAGGGATCCTTTCCACAGATGCTCCACACATCCTTCCTCTGCCTGTTTCCTCAGGCCACTCCCCGTGTCATGGCGTCCTTCTGCAGCTCTGTCCTCTGCCCACATTCAAACCCTCTCTCTCTCCAAGTCCAGGTCAAACGTAACCTCCTCCTGGAAGTTCTCTCCTGGATCTCACAACCAGAAAGAAGCCTCCTCTCTCAGACTCTCTTCAGCAGCCCTAGCTATCCATCTGCTCTAGGGCAATGTCTCAGGTAAACCCTGAGAGTTGCCTACCAGATATCCAACCTCTATTTCCTCTTTACTATTTCAAATTTGTTCAGGTGACCAAGCCACCGATTTGAAAAATAATATCTCTGTTTTCTTGCCTCATCTGGGGTGGCCATATGGCAGAATTCTGGCCAGTGAGCTAAGGAGAAGAAAAATGTTATCAAATTATTACCAGTGAATAAAAGCCTACTCAGCTTTTCTCCTCCCCCCCTCACCACTTTTTTTTTGAGTTCTGGCCAGTGAGTCAAGGAGAAGAAAAATGTTATCAAATTATTATCAGTGAACAAAAGCCTACTCAGCTTTTCTCCCCCCACCCTTTCTCTTTCTCTCTTTTTTTTTAATGTAATACTAGCTAATAAAATTCCAGGGCTTGGTTTTAAAAACATAAGTTTTCATAATAAAGTACATGACTCTCAGAAAGAGTTGAAGGACATGTTTCCTGCCCCTGCAGCGCTAAATCAAAAGATACTGTTCTGTGTTATAAAATGGTTCAAGGAATTTCATTTGATGTTGTGCAAAACTGAGACTGTTTATAAGAATGTCATTTATGTTCTCCTCTGCAATATACAGTTTTGTATGAATATTCATGACGGTTGCTGACTCGTTCTAGTCTTTGCTAATATGAATCTGCCCTTGGAAGAACAATGTAAACAAAATGGTCTTATGAGACTCCAAAGATGTTAGAAATTATTCCATGTCTCATGAAAATGATCCCCACATAAAATGGAATTCTGACGGGTTGTCTTACCTGCTGATTTCTTGCTCTGGTAATAATAACATTGTAATTGACATCTCTGTTTTCCTAAACTGTATACCAATCTGTAGGACTGTACTCTTCTCTCTCATGAACAATGCAGGGAAAAAAAAAAAAACCTGGCCAGGCACAGTGGCTCATGCCTGTAATCCCGGCACTTTGGGAGGCCAAGGCAGGTGGATCATGTGAGGTCAGGAGTTTGAGATCAGCCTGGCCAACATGGTAAAACCCTGTCTCTACTAAAAAAACACACACACACACACAAATACATATATACACATATATATACACACACACACATATACATATACACACACACACACACACACACACATATATATATATAGCTGGGCATGGTGGCAGGTGCCTGTAACCCCAGCTACTGGGGAGGCTGAGGCAGGAGAATCACTTGAACCCGGGAGGTGGAGGTTGCAGTGAGCCGAGATTGCACCATTGCACTCCAGCCTGGGCAACAAGAGCGAAACTCCGTCTCAAAAATAAATAAATAAATAAATAAATAAATAATAAAAACCTTGAACTCTGCTAGATTTATTACTGAGCATGCATTTTGAGAGACTTGTCTACTTAAAATACTAAACTTAAGAGGCTATCTGCTGGGGAGTTTTGGGAGTTCTTCTTTTCTGATACCGGCAACACCATTTCCTCCTCCTCACCTTCCCCTTCTTCCTTCCTGGAAGATGAATGTGATGCTGGAGATGGTGCAGCCACCTGGCAACTATGAGACAACTGTGAGGATGAAAGCTGGAGATCTGGGGATGTCGCTGATAACAACATGGGGAGCCTGGTTTTCAGATGACCCTGTGGAGCTGCTGCAACAACCCCACACAGCCCGCCGCCGTATCTCTT